GGAAATTTTCTAAAAAATAAAAATAAAAATAAAAATAAATAAATAAAATATAAATAAATAAATAAACAACCTCCCTCCTTTTATCTCTAAATCTCTAAATCACCTAAAAATTAGCAAGGGAAATAACAAACATAAATTACCTCTACAAAGCCACAAGACAACTATAAACCAAAGCACAATATAAAAAGAAGGAAAGCAGTTGAATGGAATGGAAAATGGCCAGTGTCATCAGATAACTAACCCTGCTTTGCAAATGACACAGGCATACAAACTTCAAAAGATAGGTTTGAGGTAGAGCCAAGTAGCTGACCACTTACTAACCTAGCATACCCAAGACCCTGAGTTCAAGTCCCAGCACATCAAAATAATAAAGATCATCTCTAAAATGGATATTGTAGGTAAGGAAAGGGTATGAAAGATAGATTGGAAAAATCAGCATAAAAATAGTCCATTCAGCTGACCTTTCCTACCCTGTCAAACTCTGCTCCATAATGTCATCTGTCACATTTCTATCCCCAGGAAGGTATCTACAATCTTCAATTTCAAATTTAGAATGTCTGAAAATTTCTTACAATGATATTTACAAATCCATAGGACTATCAGGCCAATGACTTAGCAAGATGGATCAACAATCTACGGTTCAAATATGGCACCAAGAATTCCAAAATGATGCTTTTCACATTTTATTCTATTTTGATATTTTGTGAAATAAGCATAATTTTAAATTTTAAGAAGAGTTCTTTCTTCTGGAATTCTGGTTTAAAAACAAAACTAAAATACAAAAAGACTGTTTAAAAACTTTCACACAACATAAGCATAGCTTACAAACTGAAATATCTTTTAATCACAATATAAAACTATGCATCCTTTCTGTACTTCTATTTTTTTATTATTGTATAACTATATACCCTCCTTAACTGTGATTACAAGATATCTTTTGTAAAGTCAGAGAAGATGGGAGGAAATAAAAGAGGATCCCTTCTCCCTTTTAAAGACAAGATCTCTCTATGAAGCCCTGGCTGTCCTGGAACTCACTGAATAGATCAGGCTGGCCTTGAATTCACAAATCTGCCTGCTTTTGCTTCCTAAGTACCAGGATTAAAGGAAGGCACCACTATGCCAAGCCAGAATCCCTTATAATGTATCACTTTCTATTTAGAAAGCACAAGGCATGAAAAACAGCAATACAAACCTAAAACTGACATTCTTGCAAATATCAGAGAACACAGACTTACCATTTCAAGTCTTCTACTATGTGATATTAATAGAAAGAAGCAACAGAATGTTTTAGTTTCCTTTCATTAGTGTTATAGAGAGTACATTTCAAAAAAATTGCAAAATGCAATGATCATTAGGATTTTTGGTTAAATGAAATTTCTCATATTTTTACAGCAATGTAAACTGACATAAACATTTTAGATTCATTGATTCAAAATTACTGAAGGCTGACCTTCCAATAAATGCATAATTAAATCATGAAAATTCATTTAAGCAAAAGGCTAAATATTTGAATAATTAAAATTATATCATACAAATTATCTTATATGTCAACAAGCAATGTTTTTAATATTGTGGGTATTTTATAAAGTAAATATTAAAATATAGCATTAATCTCAGAGTAGTTACAATTTAAATGTACTTATTATACCATTTAAGTGATAAGTATGCTAATTAACCTAATATGATCACTACTCAATGTGGACATAAACCAAAACATCACACTGTATGTTACAAATGAGTATAAACATTATGTACAAATCAAAAATTGAACTAATTTTTTAAAAGAATACAAGTAGTTGACTATTTTGTAAAACCTCGTTTTCCTTGTTGTTTACTTCCTTCTTATATTCTTCTTCAAGGTGTTGGATTTTTTCATGATCTTCCTTTACTTTAAAAATAGAATAAATAAACCTTGTCTTAACACAATTGCATAACTTTTCCATTGCCTACAAAATTTAAAGATTACCCTTTCTTGTTTATCTCAAATTACACTAAACCTCAAAAGTTTCTAGTGAATTAAAACTAGTATTTTCTTCTGCCAGTTCTATTTACTAAAATAATAACTGTATACAGTTTCAAAGTTATACCTTAAAGTCCTATAGTTCTTATAAAAGCACTTACATAAAAATTTTATTCTTTATACTTACATAAAATAACAAATCTTATATATATATAATTTACCAAAAATATGTAAGTAAGGCAAAATTATGACTCTAAAATACTAAATACAGGCCATTATAAATATATCATAGAAAAGATGGTTTTAAAACCAAAAGAAATGTTAACATATATATTTCCTGCCACAATCAACAAGATTTTGAGGGGGGATTACAAAAGCAAAGACAACAAGAAATATAAACTAGTTGAAGGCATCAAATTAAAGGGATACAGATACTAACAAAAATCTAATAAAACATAAATAGCAGAAAAGCAACATGAAGGGGCTGGAGAGATGGCTCAGTGGTTAAGAGCATTGCCTGCTCTTCCAAGGGTCCTGAGTTCAATTCCCAGCAACCACATGGTGGCTCACAACCATCTGTAATGAGATCTGGTGCCCTCTTCTGGCCTGCAGGCATACACACAGACAGAATATTGTATACATAATAAATAATAAATATTTAAAAGAAAAGAAAGAAAAGCAACATGAAAAGTTAAATAGGAATCCTACACTTAAAATGCATCTCCAGTCTGGCATTCTCAGCTTGCCCACGAAGTTCCTCAAAAGCCAGTATCATTTTCTAAAATACAAAATTTAACTTTTAAATAAGAGACTTTTTAAAAACTTTTTTAAAACTTTGAAAATATTAATAAATTTTGCCCTATAATCACTGGATACAAATTCATACAACTTTGGAAACTGCAAACACTGTAATATAATGATTTACTAAAAAGATTTATGTCTATAGTGAAGCCAGTGTTATTGATACCTTAGCTAACAAAAATATCTGCTAACAAACTTTCAGCCTGAGTTTGATCCTTAGAATCCATATGGTAGAAAGAAAGAACCAACGCCAACCTCTACACACATCCTGTGGCAGGCATGCCTATACACATATACATACTATTTAAAGGTTTAATAACTATTTCTGAGAAATCCATAGAACAAAAATGCCTCCAACCTGTAAGCCTCTTGCCAAAAGACAGATACTTCCTGAAATGCTTATTTATGAGACATAATTAGCCACGTTTTTACTTCCCTAAACAAGTTTGTTTGACTCATCTGCACCAGATATGCTTGTTGATCACATGCATATGCTTGTTGATCACATGCAGGCAGGTATAGTGAAAGATTCAACAGATCCATTATATCTGTAGCCTCGTCTACAAGAGCTAGTTCCAAGACAGGAACCAAAAAGCTACAGAGAAATCCTGTCTCCAAAAATCTAAAAAAAAAAAAAGAGAAGTTTTACTGTCCAGAAACTGACTTGCTAAAGGTGTCTCTTGTGTAACAACAAAGAGGCTTTTGTGAAGCTGTGAGGCAATCACTTCATCAGAGGCTGACTCCTCTGTTGTTGTTGCTGCTGCTGCTAGGCACTTAAACATGCTGGAGTGACTCTCCACAACTGAACTGAGTAACAAAGAATACTGACAGGAGGGAGTACATGGGCAGGAAAATATGTCAGGTTATATGCTTGCCCCTGATTCAATGTAGGCAGGAGGTACACAGGCAGGAAGTATATCAGCATGTGTGCTTACCTTGCTTGGACCTGGTAGGAAATACAGTGGCCTTATGGGTTCACCTTTTTAAGCTCAGCAAAATGTGGCTAGTCACCAATTCCTGGAAAACCAGGAATGACCTGGCCAGAGTCCATCAACCTGCTCAGTATTTAAATAAAGCTTGCTTCAAATTCGGTTTAAAATAGTGATCTTATTCTCACATGGTGGTATTAACATTTTCTGATGGCCTCAGCAAGATTCAGACCACCCACCCAAATTCTAAATTCTGAACTTCACTCTGAGAACTCCAGAGCTGGGAGGCAGCTTCAGGAGGCAAGTGCCTTGAGACATTCCAAGGCTTCAAGGCTGCATTCAGTTAACAGACTATCAGTATGAACTATTGTGCTTAGAATGCAGCAACTATAAAAAGTCTACTGGTGAGTCAATCTGGTCTGGTCTGTGGGATCTGGATCTGGAACCCCAATATTCTTCTGGCCAATGCAAATAATGTTACTCAACTGCCTGATTCTGCTTGGTTAGAAAGTTTTGTATGTGGATGGGTATGTATTTTCTGGTGTATACGCAAGTTTTGTTGCAAACATGGAACTCAGAATTATGAATGTGTTGTGGCCACCACATTCTGACTTGTTTTCTTTGAATATGTGAGCTTACTCTGCTAGCCACCCAGGCACATAATTTATCTCTAAGCTTTCTGGCCACTGAATCTAATATATTAGGGATTCAAATGTCTTTTAGATATGCATAATACTAAATATTGTTTTATGCTGTTCTATCTTATTGAGAATCTGGCTCTGGAATTGGATTATAGCTCACCCTTTCTTGGACAGAGGCATGCTTTTAAAGTCTCTATGTCCAGATCAAGAGCTGTGATAGGGAGAAAAGAGCAAGAAGAGCAGCTAAAAGGATTACTGGTATCATTTAATTGCCTAAAACCATTATATGAGCTTTCTGTATCTCAAGATTTCTAAGTTTATTGGGTATGGTTAAAAATCTATAGTATCTGATTGTTCTTTGGGCTGACAAGGGAGGGGGGACTTACTTGATTGGGGGAGGGGGAGGGAAAGGGGAGGCGGAGGTGGGGAAGAGACAGAAATCTTTAATAAATTAAAAAATCTATAGTATCTGTAATAAAAATTTAACTTAAAACTCATAATGTGGGGTGGACAGATTATCTATACATAGGTAATCTTAAAGGATCAATAAGTCATGATTCCATGTTGAGAGATAAGGAACACGTGGCCTGCCACCATCTATAAGCAACTACCTTTGCTAGGGTTGGAGAGGACAGATGGCATGTGACTTCACTGCCATCTTGATTAAACGTAACCCACATGGTGTGACCCAACCAAGGAGATAGAAAAAAGTCTCAACGATACTTTGGATTAGGATTAGGACAGGTAATTCCTGTCCCATCCTGAAAACAAGGTTAATGACAGACAAGACTTTAAAGCAATGCTTGTTTAATAAGGTATTAAAGCTGTACCTCTATGCATTCATATACAAGAACGTATCTTGCACTGGCAACCAAACTTTGTAACAGAAGAATCACCCAGGTAGTATTTGTTTTAAAGACATAAAGGGATCTTGGAGAACATCTGAGGCTTGCCAGTATGTAGCAGGGCTGGAGATCCTAAAAAAGTCCAGTCACAATTGGGGACCCTATTGGTTTTGGAGATGCCAGTACCATTTAATAGAAACACCAGTTACAATGAAATGGAGTCAGCTGGGACAAGAAGGTAAGCTATGTATGCAGCCAAAAGTGGGGCCATAGAGATGACCCAAGCTCCTTAAGAAAGCCCAAAAGATTGTAAATTAATCCCAGATATTTATTAAGCATTGAATTATTTGCACTGTTGGAGCTTGATTTTACCCTGTGCAGATTGTGGTTGTGCTCTTCCCTCTTGTGTATCTTCCCTCTTGAAATAAGAAAGGTACTTTATTTTTTGATATTGTAGGAACACACATTTGAGAAATTTTAAACTTTTTTAAAAAGAAACTTTGGAGTTTTACAGAAAAATTAAATTTAAAAAACTGGATACTTTTAAGAAACAGATTTTAAATTTAAGTTTGTACTCAACTTATAGGCTATGACACTTGAGAGTCGAAAGAACCTTCCATTGGGGTAGTCTAGACCTACTGCATGTCTTATGTTTACATTGAAATTGATAAACAATGGCAAAATTGTAGTTGTGAAATAGCAACAAAAATGATATTATGGTTGAGGTGGGGTCACCACAACACAGTGAACTGTGTCAAAGGGTCACAGCATTAGGAAGGTTGCAAACCACTGGCATAAAGAATGTCTCTCCTTACCTAAGGTCCATTCAGACTTAAGAATGTATGTCTAGCCTCCTTGTCTTTGCTAACTTTATTATGTCTTAACTATTTTAATAAACTGAGTAGTATAAACAGTTATATTCTGTAATGGTGTTCTTATAAAAGGATCAGAAAAGTTCCCAGTCTTTCTGTAAACTGTATTTATGAGTTAAAATCTTGTCTTGATATTAAAAAAAGCTACAATTCAGAAACTGTTACTTTTTAAAGCTAAACTTAACAGGAATAAGGCTATAAAATTCTAATCTTATAAAAGCTATTAACTTATTGTAAGCTGTTAAAGACAATTAAGACATGCAAGTTAATGGTCAGTCACCTTATAAAGTATCAAATTCTTGATGTGTTCAGAACTACTATACTTATAGTCATGCTAAGTACTAATGTAATTAATTAGAAAAAAATAAGCCTTATTTAGCTACCTGTATGTTTTCAAGGTTAAGCATAAAACAAGTAACATTTCTGTCCAATCTATGTATCAGGCTCTCTGGATAAGTAGGAAAAATGTTCATACTTTTTAACCCAAAGCTATAGCTTTGCTAGGACGCAAGGCATGAGTCTACTCCAGCTGTTATATAGATACCTGTTAGCTACTTTTTCTACAATGTGGATTCCAGTTCATATTAATGCTAATATATCTAAAACTTTTACCTTTTGGTAAACTAAAAAGTTCATGTATGTAAGCTTCAGAGAATCAAGGGAGTTGTAAGACTTGGATCCACCTCTCACTTGTCAAGTGGATTCCAGATAAGTGCAGCCTAAGTTTTTACCCCATCTGCCTATTCCTGAGAGTGGGATCTCTTTCCTGATCTTAGGACTCCTCTCCTCCCCAGTCACTAGGACCATGGGCCTGAAAGTTCCAAATGTAAGATTTTTCTTCAAGTTCCTAAATTTTAACTTCTGTCCCTAATCTATAACTATCTCAGCAGATTTTCATTTGGCTGACAGACACCATCCAGGAATCAGCTGCAGGCTGCTAACTGCTGAGTTCTGAATTTGCTGAAAGCTAATGTGAACCAGTTCAGTCAATGTGATTGTCCCTTGTCTCCAGCTGGGCAGTTAACCAGAATCTTCTGATAAACATCCCATTTCCTGATCCCACTCCCAGTTTCTGACTAGAATTTCAGCCTTCCTGAGCCCTGACAACAATATCCTAGCTTAAATGAAGCAGTTACAGAAGAGAATATGTCTCCTCCCCTTGTCCCCAGCAGGTTAAAAGTCTAAAGAAAACTAACTCCCTGGCATAAGGGACAATTGTCATACTAGGAAAATGGGCCCAAATCTATCAACAGGTAGATTCATTCACTGGAATATTTCTACAATATTATAGGACACTTCACCTGTTCTATGTAAAACAGAGCAGTCATTATATAACTTTAATAGAAAAATTGTTGTTTCTACACAAACTACTTGGGATTAATTACAGGAAATCTGACTGAAATATTACAAAACAGGAGGACCTGAAATGAAATAAATAACTGGCGACCATTCTCATTTCCAGGCTCTTCCTAGATAGTGACTCTGATGTCAGCCATTTCAGAGCCTTTGACCTTCTGTTTCTAATAATTCCTGTTGGCTCTTACTTCACTAATACCTAACTAAATTATAATTTCTGTCTGGGTATCATTAGGCTGACAGTTATTTGATCCCAATATAAAAAGGTGCCCAGCAGTATCAAGAATTTCACTCAGGAGGGTGTAATCTGAGAATCAAGTGGCTCCAACCCTTGCCCAAGGACAGATACTTCCTGAAATGCTGGAGGCTATTGTTTATGGGAGATAACAAGCCACGTGCTTTTGCTTAACTCCTCTGCACTGGAAGTGGTTGATCACAAGTAGGTAGGAGGAGGTACGTGGGCAGGAAATATGTCAGGATGTATGCTTGCCCCTGATTGGATATAAGCGAGAAGTATGAAGGCACACATCAGGATGTGTGCTTGTCCCTAATTGGACCTAGTGAGCAGTACAGTGGCCTTATAGATTTGCCTTTTTAAGCCTCTGCAAAACATAACTAGTCACCAATTCCTGGGAACCCTGAATTAAATCTGGCATTCCATTAGCCTGCCCAGTATGTAATTAAAGCTTGCTTCAAATTTAGCTTAAAATTGTGGTGGTGGTCTTATTCTCACCTAGTGGGCTTAACAATACAAATTATATGTATTTAACATTTTCTGTATAATTTTATATATATGTGTGTATGTGTGTGTATGCATGCATGTAAAAAGTAACATTTTCTGTATAATGTTATATATATGTATGTATGCATGTAAAAATATTATAGAATTCCTAATGTCACATAACAATGAACACCAGCAAAGTGAAATTAAAACTTTATTATCTTACCACATTTTAACATACAATAATCCATAAGGTTTTAAGGGGCTTACAAAAACAAATAATAGAATTAAAACTCTCAATAAAGACCTGCCTATACATTTTAAGTGTCTTTCTTCCCCACTAACGTGAGGCAGCCTCATAAGAATTCAAAACTAGCCAGGCGGTAGTGGCGCATGCCTTTAATCCCAGCACTCGGGAGGCAGAGGCAGGTGGATCTCTGTGAGTTCGAGGCCAACCTGGTCTACAAGAGCTAGTTCCAGGACAGGCTCCAAAGCTACAGAGAAACCCTGTCTCAAAAAACCAAAAAAAAAAAAAATTCAAAATTGTATTTACATCACCTGATAATATACATTTACTCAATATTCAATAAATTTTGCTTTACAGAAATCAAATTATTTTATTCATTCACTCGTCCACTAAATATTTACTGAGTGCCTATTATGTACCTGGAACTATTTTAGGCACTGAGGATATATACAAAACCCACTGTACTGAAAATTTTATATTGAGTATGACAAAAAATGTGCATACTATGGCAAACTACTGTGTGTCACGTCTGCCTGGCCTATAAGGTGAACAGGTTGGCTGTTTTACTCTCTGAACTTTAGGCAAGTTTTACCTATTAAAATACAAATGAAATATTACTAAAAAAGACCTATGTAGCTATCACTCTGCTCAGAAATTCTTCTATTTAAAATAATCATATTTTTATTAACACTTACCTCAATGTTATTATTTAGATCCACATAAACTTGTCTTGTTTCTTCCCGTTCATATTCATCTGTAATTATCATTAAAAACTTCAAAATTAAATTTTAAAACATAACATCAACAAAATAATACTTATAATATCTCATAAAAACATTAAAACATTTAAAATTCTTGTTTACAGCAGCATTGCTACAAATTATTGTACACCACAGTGTTACAAAAGCTCCACTACTAGATGAAATTTTTAAATTCTTCTATATTCTTATGGTATCAATGTCCTATGTATACTCTACTATTGGCCTTAAATGGAGTCATAAAATGTATCACTATACTATGCCTACCCCACAACATTATTTCCTATTATGGACATAGATTTGAGTTTAATTCTTGATTCAATGCCATGGTAGTTCCAGACATAAAAGGCTAGTCTTAAAATCACACTTGAAATGAATATTAACTGCAAACATATATACTTATTGATATTACCTTTCAAAAACAGAAAAATTAGCTACTACTTAAAAATGTCTGAGACATAATTCAACGATACCAAATTAATTTGAAAAACTTAAAAGGCAATTTCTCCTTCTGTTTCCACCATTAAATGAGTAATAAATTGATACATCCCATAAAATAAGAAAGACACCTACATTTATTTGTCTTTTCTGCAGATCTAGCACAGGTTTCCTTAAGCAGATTACACAAATGTCTTGTAGCATTATTCCTGGGGGGGGAAAAAAGGTTTTCCTAACTGTAATCTGGTCTCAAAGCTAAATGATACATGAACATTACAGACATATAGTTATAATTTTAGAGAAATTTTTAAAACATTGTATTTTGTATATACTGTATATCACATAGTAACATTTATATCAAGAAAAATAGAGACTACTATTGCCAAAATCATTTAGTAACTTCTTCGCTCTAAGTGACAACTGCTACCCAGTCTCTAGCAAGTTACTATTACTAACAATACCCTCTCAGAGAAAAGGTTCCAGATTTGTCTAGGATAAATAATGAGACAGGGTTAAACTTTTCATTTATTAATTACTCATAAACTGTTCTTGATGCCTCGTCCAAATTCTATTGCAGTACTACACTGTGACTAAAAGCAACTTGGAAAAAAGTTTGACTTGCATGTTCTGATCACAGTCAATCACTGATCAGATCAGGAAGCCAAGCAAGTGCAAAGGCAGGAAATATGAAGCAATACAGATTATTGGCTTGCTCCTCATGATTTGCTCAGCCTGCTTTTTTAATACAGGCCCAAGCATCTGCCCAGAAGGGCACTGCCCATAGTGGAAAGGCCCTCCCACATCAATGATCAATGAGGAAAATGTACCACAGACTTTCCCACAGTCTAATATGATAGAGGTAATTCCTTTAACCTTCACAACCAAAAGTAATTTCCTCAGCAGCTATCCATTGTGTGAATAAGATCTCTATTTGTATTAATTTACTAATATAAAGAACAATTTGGTTTAATTTTCCAACATACAGGTTTTTGGTACAAATGAATTATTACACGGACAAAAAAAAGGCATTTGACAAGGAAAAGCAGTTCCAAATTGGACTTACTCTATTTTACAAGTGTTATGCCTAAGGCAACAGTGACACAGAAAGATGGACAATATGCAAATGTAGTTTTAGATAATAAATTTTAGGCACTTTTTTGATTCCAAGAAATGATTCCTCCTGACACCTGACATTTTACAGAAAGAGAAGTTATTCATCATTAGCCAACTTGCTAAATCTAAAAAAGGTAGAATGGGTATATTTCCTCTTTCCACAGCACTCATGCCATGACCTGATGTTTTGGTTCTGGAAACCTGAGGTCCTGTAAGGACACACAGACACATATACAGAAAAGCTAGCATCAGGTAGACTGTGCTCACTCTGATGGAGCAATACCAACTATGTAACAATTGAGTTTATTGTGTATAACAGGAGGAACTAGCTAGGAGGACTCTGAGAGAGAGCAGTCTCAGGTTTTGATCATCCAGGAGGAAGAAGTTATAGTTATTAGTGTTTTAACACTGATCAATCATTCGCAAACACTCTTACTTTCACACAGTCAATGTTTTCTTTCAGACCAGAGGAAGACTTCACCCTGGGAAGGCTTTGCCACTCCCAAGGGTCTGAGGTTGTGCACATTTCAAACAATATACATTCATTCAGGATTTGATCCATTCGCTCCACAACCACTTGGGGCTTTCTTGGCTCCCCACAAATTCAGGCAGAAATTATTGTTATGCTACATACACAAAGAAAGTACTCAACAAATAAAAACTATTTCAATAATAAATTTGGAAGTAAAATTATTAAATTAATACTTACTCCTTTATTAAATCTTTATTTTCTTGAATTTCTTCTTCTAATTTCAAGCTTACTTTTTCATTTTCAAACTAATTTACAAAATTGAAAAAGTTAATTACATTTCCCTTTTTAAAAATCATTTAGTGTAATCATTAATCAGGTTTTCTTTACTAGCACTCTATAAGTTCTGTAAGATTATTTTCTTTCCACATAAAAGAAAATCTTTGAATTTTCCATAAAAATATGAGTTTCTTTAGAAGGTGGAATGTTATAAAATATTAGTTTGGGATGTGTTAATTTGTTTATGCTGTGGCACATTTGTTTAATGATGCAAAGATTGCTACATTCTTTTATGTTGCATTTGTTTAACTCTGTGAAACTGTGTTACTATTCCTGTCTAAAAAACCTAATTGGTCTAACAAAGAGCTGAATGGCCAATAGCAAGGCAGGAGAAAGGATAGGCTGGGCTGGCGGGCAGAGAAGACGAAAAGAGGGATCAAGAAGGAACAGCAAGATAAGGAGGAGGACTCCAGGGACCAGCCACCCAACTATACAGCAAGTCATGGAGTAAGAAGTAAAGGAAGTTACACAGAAATAGAGAAAGGTAGAAGCCCAGAGGCAAAAGATAGACAGAGTAATTTAAGAAAAGCTGTCAAGAAACAAGTAAAGCTAAAGCCAGGCATTGATAAGAAAAAATAACTCAAGTTAAGTCTCTCTGTGTAAAGAATCAAAGAGTAAAAAATGACCAACTACAACAGAAGCATAAGTATCAGGAGTTCAGGGCCAGCTTCAATGTATACAGTGGATCTGAAGCCAGTCTGAGCTAAACAAAATTAAATGCTATGTCAAGAAAAAGGAAGGGGGGTTGGCGAGTTGGCCCAGTGGTTAAGTGTTCTGACTGTCCACCCACTGAGATGGTGGGACTGATCTAATGGGAGCTAACCAAGGCCAGCTAGAATGGGACTGATGGAGCATGTGATCAAACCGGACTCTCTGAATGTGGCTGACGATGAGGGCTGACTGAGAAGCCAAGGACAATGGCACTGAGTTTTGATTCTACTGCATGGACTGGCCTTGTGGGAACCTAGTCTGTTTGGATGCTCACCTTCCTAGACCTGGATGGTGGGGGGAGGACCTTGGACTTCCCACAGGGCAGGGAACCCTGACTGCTCTTAGGACTGGAGAGGGAGGGGGAGAAGAGAGGAGAGAGGGGGAGGGAAATGGGAGAAGGGGAGGAGGTGGAAATTTGTAATAAATAAAT